GGCGGGGTGCGGGGTGGGGCAATGTTATGAAGGATCGTTGGTAGCCGGTAGGGTTACATTCAAAAGCTAGGTACTGAAGAGTGGGGTGGGGGGCTGGTGAGGTGGGGCGGACGGCGGTCATGTGCGGCGATGGAGGTGGTGGTCACTGGCGGGTGTTGGTTGGTCACTGGGGATAAGTCACTACGATGGCATGGAGTCACTAGCGGTGGTCACTGGATGGGCGGCGCTGGAGGTGGCAGTCGCTATGGGGGGCGAGTGGTCATTGACGGGAAGATCACTAGATGTCATCGAAAATGGAGTCAGCGAAAAGGTAGTCACTTGACGTCGGGATGCAATGAGATAGAGAGTACGTAGTCACTAATCTCGTCTAGTGACTAATGGCGGCGATAGTGTTAGCGGTGGTGGTGAGGATAGTGGAGGCGGCGGCACTGACGGTTGTGGTTGTTGGGTGGCTAGAGAACAATGACTAATTATTAATTATTAAAAAGGAATGTAATTATAGTAACAAATGCATTATTAAATATAAGGATGTTTTTACTTGGATTGTTTTCAATCCGAGACCAGACCAGACTTAAATAGACCAGGCTAGACCAGACTTTCATAGTTATAAAATACACAGAGACCAGACATTTATTAGACCAGACCAGACTTAAACACACCAGACCACACTAAACCAAACCAACAAATTTCAGTCCAAGTAAAAACATCCTAAGACATAAATGATATAGTAAGTCGCATTTTTCGAAAACTTTAAAAGAGGTCATATTTTTTCTTTCACATTTATTTTAGTACTATTCACAAAAAACGCCTTTTTAAAATTGCATCAATTTCAAAGTCATTTTGAACAAGATAATCTCTCTCTAGGATTGCCGCAAGGCCAACCGCTAGCTTTGATCGTCTACTATCGGCTTAAGCCGAGGAGCGGGGCTGGATATCCGGACATCTGTTTATTTTCGGCGTAGAGGAGTCGGAAGGAGGGGCGACGAAGGAGGTTGGGGAAGGTTTTTGGTTCAGACCGGCAGTTCGTGGTGTCTTTGACGGGCGAACTGAGGAAACGAAGTCGCGAGCGGAGGAGAGATTACCAGCAGGTGAATCGATTTAGCTGTCCGAGGAAAGCGAGTTTGTATTGAAAACATCGTGGACCAGTATAAGAAGATGGCAATCGGTGCGGAGGAAGAGGAACTTGATTTGGATGAATCTGAAATTGAGGATACTCCGACAGAGGAGACTATACCGGGCTTTCCGGTTGTGGGAGTATTGTTGACAGATAGGAAGGTCAAATTCTCAGCTTTCAAAGAACTCATGGCATCTCTGTGGAGGCCGGGGAAGGGAGTTTCGATTAGAGAAGTAGGTGATAAGAGATATCTCTTTACGTTTTATCATCTTGTTGATATGAAACGTGTGTTAGATGGTGGTCCATGGCAATTTGAGCGTAATTTACTGATCTTGAAAGAAGTTAAGTCTGATGATATACCAAATAAAACCTGTTTAAACGAGGCTAAGTTCTGGGTGCAAATTCATAATGTTCCTTATAGTTTGGTGAATTTAGGCACTGTTAGGCGGGTTGGTAATTTTATTGGAAAATTTAATTTATCAGATATGATGGTAATCAGTGTAGTGAGAAGTGGGAATCTTATATGAGAGTCAGAGTTTGTATGAATGTGGAGAAACCTCTAAAAAGAGTACTAATGTGAGGAAAGGAGGAGTGAGTTATTGAGTGGACTTTAAGTATAAAAAGTTGCCCAATATCTGGTTTGTATGTGGTTTGATAGGGTGCTCAGATAAATTATGTCCTCCGACTTATGAGGAGGACGTGGTTCTCGAGAAAACATTTGGAGTTCTTCTTAGAGCAGGGCGCGGGGTGAAGACAAGTCCTACAGGAGGAAATAAATGGCTGGTGGTTCAATCGTCCAGCTCCAGTAGAGATCGCAGGAACATGGAGGACAACAAATTTGATGGTCGAATGGGAGGAGGTGTGAATGAGTCTATCTCAGAAACAACGCAGAGTACTACTAAGGACGTGGAGATTGAGACAAATGAGGAGGCATCGGGAGAACAGAAAAGAAGATGCATCTGGGAAACCCGGGAAGAGGAAAAGCGAGTAGGAGATAGTATGGCGCTAGATGGTGCAAAAAACGGGGAGGGGGCGGGCTTCGATCAGTAAGCCCGCCTAAACTGCTTCAGTCAGGAACGAGGCGAGGGACATGGGAGATGCTCTTGTTCGGGACGCTGGGACAGAAGTTTTATGTTTTTAGTTTTACTTTAATTTTTCGTGACAATTTTCCCTATTGTGTGGTTTTGCGTTCCTTTATTTTTTCTGCTGTAAGATTATGAATTTGGATGTGGGGATGAAAGGAATGAGGTAACCGTCTTTGGCTCAGTTGTGCCCGTTAATGGATCATCGAGTTATATTGCTTTTGCCGAGGTAATCAACTTTGATTAACTCTCACTCTATTTCTTCCGAAAAATGCATCAATTTCTTTCTACACAATGATATATTCATTTTGCAATGAGTTAGTATTGTGGTATTAACATTGTAACAATGTTATTGTAAAATGTTAGTAAAATCGTTGGTGATGAAGACGTCATTTTTCACAATGCATGTATTGTAAAATATAATGTGGCACTTTTATTGCAACTTTAACTTAGTAATATTTAGATCGAGGATGGTAATGTGATGACAATGAATGAATGCAGTGGCGATAGGTAGAAGTCCAGTAGGGTAGGTCACTCAGACCATTTGTAGTGGTTGGGAGTCCAAATTGTTAAATTTGGACTCCATCCATATGAAAAGAGTGCTATGACTCCGTCAATACTGTTTTTCTCTGCATTCGTGCACCGTCAATAAAATACACTCAACATATTTTTTTACATATCAATTTAGTAAAACATTAATTAATTTATTATAAGTAATGTTTTCCGTTTAATATTGGTGTCATTTTATATATTACATATTGGTGTCATATGAAAGATCATAAAATTTTATGAATTTTGATATATATTTTGAAAAATTTGGAGAAAAAATAAAAAAGTTACAAGAGTTTAAAACAATTTGGGGTTATAATGATGTCATCATGATGTCAGCGAAAACATGGTTTGGCTGTCAACCCCTCCCTCTATATTTACACTCTTCCACTCCCCTTTCCACTTTTACTCCCCCTTTTAATCCTCCACTACACACAAATAAGAGTCTAAAATCTCCATTTTTAATCTTTTGACTCCTAATCCCCAACCACTACAAATGGTCTCAGTCATCGGTGGACGGGAGGCGGAAGCCGGAAGCTGGTCCAACGGTTCTGCCGAAATTAAAAGGAGTAAAGGATCAAATTGGTCCTCGAAATTGCATAAAAAGAGTCAAATAAGTTTTTATTGTCCGTCCGTCGCCATTTGGGGCGGTTCCCGGTGGAATTTTTTGATGAATTTTTTTGAGCATCTTATTCATTAAGTCTAGTTTACTCATACCAAATTTCAGCTAAAACTTCAATCGGGAAGGCAGTTATCTTCAAGACTTCATTTGAGTGCCTTCCCGATTGAAGTTTTAGCTGAAATTTGGTATGAGTAAACTAGACTTAATGAATAAGATGCTCAAAAAATTCCACCGGGAACCGCCCCAAATGGCGACGGACGAACAGAGCCTCCTATATAAGGACTTATTTGACCCTTTTTATGCAAATTCGAGGACCAATCTGACCCTTTACTCGTTTCAAATTAAAAGCTAGTGACAATTGATAATGAAAAAGGCCTTTTGTACACATCATCACTGTTCAACATACTTGTACATAAGGCTGTTAACGAACACTTAGAGCTCAAGCTCGGCTCGGTAATAGGGGTGTTCGGGTTCGAGCTCGAATCGCGATGGGAGTCGATGAACATTACAAATGAGACTCGTGTTCTTCTCGATAGGCGTTCGATGTTCGAACCGAGCACTCGATAAGCTCGATAAATATGCTTGGATTTAAAATTATAGGTAATGCTCGTTAATAGACTTGTGCTCAAATTATTCGACAAGTATTCAGTTCGTTAATACTTAATAATCATATTTAAATTCCTAAAATCATCTTAATTATATTTAAACTTTGACAAATATATTAATTATATTTATAATTTCAGGGTGTCTGATAGGCTCGAGCTCGAACTGAGCCGATTACTACTATGTTCGAGCTCGGCTCAATTAGCTTTTCAAACTTAAAACTCAGTTCAGGTGCGAAAGTTCGGCTCGTTAGGTTTGAAACCGAGCTCGAACTCAAATAGTTCGATAAGAGCTCAGTTCGTTAACAGTCCAACTTATACTTGTACACACGCCTGTGAAGACTTTTTTTAGTCTGTGACAGACAAAACATGTATTTTCTGTAATAGACAAAACGTGTCTTCTCTATGACAGACAAAACATACTTTGTCTATGACAGACAAAAAAACCTTCACAAGCGTGTGTACAATAATAAAGTGTGTAAAAACAAGAATGGTTGATTGATCATTTTAAACTTATTGTTAAAAAGTGATACTAAAACGGCTTTATATTTTCAAATGGTGGCATTAAAAAAATTGCCATATATTACTCCCAAAGATCAGAGCTGAAATGCTGGCTTCTCAAGCAAGCTTCTAGTCCATGGATGAGTGTACATTCCTATAACACTGGTTGTGAATGAAACACGCAGCCAAACAGGCCACTAGCTCAACATACAAATATTCCTCCAGTAATATATTCCAACCTGAAATTCCGATTGCTTCCTTAAGCGCGTAAGATTCATCTAATCTAGACATAAGTAGGGCAAATCAACTTTTACCCTAGTTATAGAAACTTCAGTTAGAGACTTAAGAACAGTTTAAAGACCAACAAGATAAGGGTTTATCTATTGTTATTAAAATACTTAAAACTCCTATATTCTTAATACTATAATGATATTACAATGGTTTTATGTGTAATAATTAAACTAAATTATGATATTAAAAAATAAAATCTATTTTTGTAATTTGGTATATATATGATGCACTCCCTTCTCTGATCTCACCCCCTCTGGGCTCTGGCATCATCAAAGAAACCCTTGGCTAAGAAATCTTGCCCATTTAGGCTCTGTTTTCTTTTTAGTCACAGTTATGGGTCTAATCAAAATCCACTCTTTCGGGTAAACCCAATCACCATTTCCCTTTTCTTTGATCTGGGAAAATGGATCTGTACAGCTTTCAGAACATAAAGGCCGAGAAGGAGAAAGCGATCATGAAGTACAGGAGGATGCAGAAGATGACGATCCTCTTCCGGTTCGTCGAATTCTGCATTTTCGCGATCGCATTCTCCAGATTCTCCGTCCATTTCCCTCAAGCTCTTAACTTCTCCGGCGACCATTTCAAGGAGATTCTTGTTTCCCTGATCAGTCCCCGGTTTTTGTTCGTGGTCGGAAACGCCATTGTCGTCATCTTGTACCTTAAATCAAAGAAATCTTCTACAGATGACAACGAAGAGATGAATAATAAACAGAGCATCTCTGTTTCAGGGGAGGAAGAAGATGTTGTTCCGGAGAAGCGCCGGGAAATTGAACAGGCGCCGGTGAGTTCTTTGGAGAAAAACTGCCCGGCGCCAGAAGACGAAAAGCCCGAATTGTACGATGATGACGAAAAGAAATGTTTGGGTCATTCTTTCTTTCACGGGAACAATGAACCAATGAATAAACAGAGGAGTGAAGAAGAAGAAGAAGAAACTCCGGCGAGTCGTCAGCAAATGCACCGGAGCCAATCGGAGAGCTGGATCGTGAGCACTGTTCCGGAAAGGACTAAGGACTTGACGCGGTCCGCGACGGTGGGGTGCCGGAAAAGTGAGGAGAGAGCGGTGGAGACAGAGGAAATGAGCAGTGAGGAGTTTCGGAGGAAGGTGGAGGATTTCATTGCTAGGCAGCAGAGATTGTTAAGGGAAGAAGAGTTTTTAGCTTCTGAAGAATAGTTATTAATTACCTTAATAATAATTTAATACTCCGTATTATTGTTATTATTACCATTAAACCTTTTTTAACTTCATTAGCTCTAACTAAGAGCGGCTTTGGTAATGTACACTGGCTAAGCCTTGCTAATGAATTTGTACAGCCTCACTTCAATGAGGGAATTAAGGTGAAACGCCCTTCTAATTTGTCTAAGTGGCTGTTACTTAAATTATTATCATGTGCGTGTGGAATTGTGGATTAGAGTTTAGGAGACCTAGCTAATTTAGTTGATGGGTATTATTCTATGGTATAAGCGGATGGGACACGATCTCATATCCTATGAGCATTAAGTTGCTAATAGAAAATGATCGTGTTCGTGGTAAGTGTTTATGCACCACAAGTGGGATTGGATGCATCTATCACTCAACAATTTTGGGAGGATATTGAGGAAATGGTGTGACGAGTGTCAAGGGGAGAGAAACTGGTCACAGGAGGTGGCCTCAACGGGCATGTGGGCCCAAGTCGTGATGGTTTTGAGAGTATCCATGGCGGACATGTTTTTGACACTAGAAATGAAGCGGTGAATAACATTCTGGATTTTGCTTCGACATATGAGTTGGCTGTGATGAATACTTGGTTCAGGAAAAGAGACTTTCACCTTGTGACCTATAGAAGGCGATCTAATAGTACTTGAACTGACAACTTTATAGTACAGACGACTTGGATAACAAGCTACACTGATTGTAAAACCCAAGTGAGAATGATGTCACTCAACATAGGATGTTTGTGCTTGATTTTCAAGATAAAAAGAGAAGGCAAGTTAAGGTACTAGGGAAGCCAAAGATAAAATGGTGGAAGTTCGAGGGGAATCTCCAACAAACTTATGCACAGAAAATGTTGGAGGAAGATGTATGATCCATTGATAATGACGCACATGTGGATGGTGTGTGGTTAACAATGGAGTCCACCATTAACAAAGTGACGAAGGAGATACTTGAAGAATCTAAAGAATGTCTGTTACAAAACAGGACACATCTTGGTGGAATGATGTGGTGAAACAAGCAATAAGGACCAAAAGAGAATGCTATAAGAAATAGGGCAAAAGATGGGGCGACGAGAACATAGAGGAGTGCAAGCAAGCTAGAAGAAGAGCAAAGAGAGCTGTAAAGGAAGCAAGAGGAAAAGTGAACAAGGAATTGTATGTAAAATTGGACTCTAAGGAAGGAGAAAAAGATATTTACAAACTTTCTCGCCTTCGTGACCGTAGGACTCAAGATATCGAAAAAGTTAGGTGTGTGAAGGATGTCGATCAAAGGGTACTAATGGAGGACGAGGAAATAAAAGAGAGGTGGAGGTCATACTTTGATAGCTTGTTCAACGGGAATAAAGTGCAAGGTATTGATGATCTTACTATACCAGATTGTATGGTAAATCCAGAATTCGTGAGAGGATCCAAATAACAAAAGTTAAAGAGGCTATGAGAAACACTTTAATTTTTTATGTTGTAGTAGTTATTTCAATATGTGAAACACGTTACTTTTTTTATGTATGTCCACCTGCAAACTATTGGATATTATGTTATTAGTTACTTAATCATTTGTTTATGATGTGTTGGGTTATGCATATTGGATGTATGTACTGTGTTTGTGACCAGGTGCATTGCCATGTTTTTGTCAAATTTTGTTTTTGTTTTTATCTGTTTTTTATGTTTCTGTGTTTGCAGGTGTCGGGGCAAAGTCTTCAAACCGTTTGGTGACTTATAAGTCACCATCCCAGTTGGCAACTTATCAGTCGCCAAACGATTTGGCGACTTTGCCCAACCTGAAAAGCGCAGCAGTAGATCTGTAAATATTTTTAACCCAACATTATCTACGTATATAGTTTTTAATTTGCATTAATTCAGGAAAAAACTCCCAGATTTTAATTTTTTTCGTGCCGTTGGTTGTGCTTGTTATCCTAATTTTGTTGCCAAGTCTTCAAATCAACTCTCACCTCGCTCTATTATTCATTGTGTTTTTCTCGGGTATGCTTTGAGTTACAAAAGGTATCGTTGTATAGATCCATTATCGGGTAGAGTTTATATTAGTCGAGATGCTCTTTTTTACTCCCTCCGTCCCATTAGGAGGTTCCAATTGCGGTTTACGATGCTTGACTGATGATAAAGCAACTTAATCTCTGTTCACACCCTGATTATTTTTAGTAAATAAAGTTTATATAATCAGAAACTACATTAAAACCGCTACAAAGTCTGATAAAAAATGCAAGTTTGATAAAAATTTGATGTATAAAGTAAAAGATTAAGAATGATTTAAGTTGACCATGTGAATAGTGGACGGGCCGGGAACCTTTAAATGGAACAGAGGGAGTAACATTTAGTCGAGATGTTCAGTTTCATGAGAAAGACTTTAATTTTCTTATTCCCGTCTTATTTCCTCTACCACCTTATCCACCCAGAACACTCCCGTTTTATCCTCTTCTATGACTAGTCATGCTATTCCTAGTATACTTGCTAGTGTGTCTATATCTTCGTCAGTTGTGCCCAGTTCCAGCCCTTTAACCTCTAACGCCATCAGCTCTTCCCAGATAGATAGTGCTTCCCCAAACCTCAGTCCATCTCTTAGTTCACCTACTTGGCTACTTCATCCCCACTGTCACACTCAACACCTTCTACACCATCGGCCAGCTCACGTGCCTCCTCATCGGTTAGTTCAGCGGTCTATCAGTTGGTCGGTCTGTCGGTCAGTCTGGTGGTCTCTCTGTCAGTCAGTTCGACAAACCCAACCCCACCACTTAGTACAACAGTCTCGTCTTCCCCTAGTGTCATCCCTCTAGTAAATCTTCATCCCGTGCAAACTCGTGCCAAAGATGGTATCTTTATGCCTAAGACTATTTTAAATTTGTGTATTTTTTTCGCCCTCGGATGATCCTACTTGTTTTTCTCATGCTCAAAAACATTTTATTTGGCAGGCTGTCATGGCTGATGAATTTAGGGTGAGTCATTATTCGCTAATTAATTATTATTTCATACTAGTTGGATGTTGTGGTTCTGCTCAAAGAGCTGTATACGTAACTACTTAAGATTTAAGAAGTTAAGGTCCATTTGAGTCAGCAGATGTAAGGGTGAGATAAATATATGAATATGAGCTAGAATAGGTCAAACCAAAGTGTGACTAATGTTGTTGAAAGTAGATGTCATTCATTTACACAATGAAACAGACCTTGGCTTATGGCTAGTTTGGCTTTTATGCTTGGAGTTTCCTTGAATTGGCTACCAGCAGGCCCAGTGGAGTATCATTAATTTTCTTAGGTCGATGTTTATTGCTCCGTATAAGATATTTGTAACCATAAATTACTCCGTATAAAATGTTGATAGAGATAATTGACGGACTTCTTCCCGGAAAGATCCTTACAATCTGACATCATGCTCTATTTCTCCATTTATCAATTAACTTTTTCATTAAACAAGTACATATGATTAAGTTATTTTTCTATCCTGAATCGATTGAAGTTATTGTAGAGGACCATTTAGCTATTCTTATACATAGTATATTTTATCTTAATTTTACTAATAAATATATTTTAATTATATTTTTTTTCATAATGCAACATATTCAGCTAATACAGCAACTTCAGCTAGAACTTCATCAATTTCAACAAAATTCGTCGATTCAATCAATTTGAGTGTAACCGAATGAGTTTTAAGTATTCCTTATCCCGAATTTGTTCAAGTTGTCCGTTTGAATATATATGCATAAACATCTCTATATATAGAAATGTGTGACTTAATTTACTTGAATTAAAGAAGTAAAACAAAATTGTTTTAAAATCTAGCACAATGATTTTTTATTGCGGCTTATGCCTTATGGGCGAGATTATACCTTAAAAAATTAATTCTTTTATCTGTCCGAGCTACTTCCTCAGTTCCTCGTACTTCTTCATCTGTAGATCGACCAACTTTTCTTTATAATTGTTCTTACACAAACTTTTGGGATCTATGAATCCATCCCATTTCAAGCTATTTTTATTTATTTTGGTTTGAGACTAGGTCACATGTCCTTGTTCCCCTCTCCTTAAGACCGGCCATATATGTAGTTAAGAGTCTTAAGACGTCACTTCTTTCAAATTGATAAGACCAAGGAAGGGCTTTTCATGAAGAGAATGGCCAGCTGATGAGTTATCCCAGGAGAAGACATTCATGTGGGTAGATCACGAAAAGCGGGATAAAAAATGAGCAGTCAATTCCGAAACGCTATGTTTTAGGCATTTTGCATTTTACCTGTTTAAGATAAAAAGTAAAATAACCCTAATCATCGTTTCTCCCTAGCGGCTTAGCGTTGCGTAGGGCTGTTAACGAGCCGAACCGGAACACCTAAAAATCGAGTTCGGCTCGATAAGGAATTAATGATGTTTGGGTTCGAGCTCGAAGCTCGGCGAGCTTTATAAATGAGGCTCGTGTTTGGCTCGATAGACGTTCGATGTTCGAACCGAGCGCTCGATAAGCTCGATAAATATGGTCGAATTTAAAATTTTAGGTGATGCTCGTTAATAGGCTTGTGCTCGAATGATTCGACAAGTATTCGATTCGTTAGTAATCATATTTAAGTTCATAAAATCATACTAATTATATTTAAATTTTGATTATATATAAATTATATTTATAATTTCAGGGTGTTCGATAGGCTCGAGTTCGAACCGAGCCGAATACTACTATGTTCAAGCTCGGCTCGATTAATTTTTCAAACTTAAAACTCAGCTCGGGTTCGAGTTCGAAAGCTCGTTAAGCTCGGCTCGTTAGGTTCGAAACCGAGCTCGAACTTGAGTAGTTCGATAAAAGCTCGGTTCGTTAACAGCCCTAGCGTCGCGTAGGGTTTTGTCTCTCTAGTGGCTTTGTCTTCGCGTAGGGTTTCTTTAATTTCCGCCAATTGTTTGTGTGGCTGTTTTTCTCTAGGCTTCTAGAGTGCTTTTTAAGGAGGCGTGAGTGCGGCTGTAGCCTTTGAAAACTAATCCAAGTTTCAAGAAACGATAATCATGTCTTCTAATCTTTATGGATGATCTAGAGCAGTGTTGTCTCATTCCTGCAATTGAGAAGGAGATCAAAGGGTTGGTTTCTGGCGAATCAACATGGGTAGAGGGCGGTGGTGGTAGTGGAGGCGGAATGGGCGACGAGAAGACGAGGAGAGGTGAAGGACTGAGCAAGGGAGTAGACAAATCGGCGGTCCGCCCCTCTCCTGAACC